CACAAATTTGGGCCCGAGCCCAAAGAACCCCCCTCCGCTCCCCTCCGCTGACTTGGGGCCGTGGAGCCGCGGGGGCCGCCGCCAAGCCGGGGGTCTGGGCCCTGTGGACCAGCCCGGGACTCCGGCGCCCCCCCGCCCACCAGTCCCGGCCCGCTCACCAGCGGCTCGAGCTCCTTGGTGTCGATGAGGCCGAACTCCTTGACGAAGTAGTAGAAGTGCTTGTAGCAGGTGTTGACGTGCGCCTCGGAGCCCATCTGCGCGATGCGGTCGAAGTGGTGGATGTAGACGTGCACGAACACGCGGAACAGTCGCGACAGGATCTTCCTCACCACCTGCAGGAAGTTCTTGGGGAACGGCGTGCCTGTGGGAGGGGCGAGAGGCTCAGGGGGGCGGGGGGCCCACCTACCCCCTGCCCGAGCCCACTTGGGTTCCGGCCCCGTGGGCGCCGCGCGGGTTTCCAGTGAGGCTTCTCGTCCTTAGCAGACTCCCTGATGGGCCCCCGGGCCTCCTGCCCCCACCCCCGGTCCGTCTTTACCACGTCCCCTCGCTTGCCGTCACCGACGCTTCCTTGGGCCGCGGTGGGTCGCGTCAGGCGCCCCCGCGTGCCCCTTCCACCCCCATCCGTTCACGTCCCTCCGTCCCGCGGCACGGACGGGGTGCAGCCAGCACGGGCAGGTGCGTGCCCGGGACCGGAAAGAGTGAGGGGCCCCCGTCCCCGACGTGAGGGGCTAGCAGCCCAGGGAGAGGACGCACAGAGACGCCGCGCCCTGCGGGAAGCCCCCGTGTGCCGGGCGCACATCCCCCAGGTGGACACACCGGCGCGTGCGGGATGCGGGTGCGGGAAAGCTCTCAGGACGGCGCCGCAGCGAGAGCGGGACGGCCAGCCGGAGCCCCACGCGGCAGGGCCCACGGGGCTGTCTGTCCTCTACCCGGAGGCAAGTGGGAGGGAGAAGGCTCTCTACAAGCAGACCGGACCGTGACCGGTGCAGCCTGACCCTGCGCGTCCCAGGTGCCGCCCTGCTCCCTCCCCTGTATCTGGGCCCAGGGGGCCTCTCGGGGCAGGGGAACGATGGGCCTCGGTCATGGGCAAGCGTCCGAGCGTGGTGAACGGGCCGTTCCCGGCCGACTCTGTGGAGGCTTTGCTCAGGCTCACTGAGGCCTGTGCACGTTCCCCGTCCCTCGACTCTGGACGTGAAACCGAATGGTCTGTGGGTCCCTGCGGAGCAGATGCTTTCCTTGAAAGCCCCTGGAAGCCACGCGGTGGGACGGTCACCTCGAGGGCTGGCAGTCCCCATGCGCTGGGGCCCCTCATAGCGGAAAGGGGCTTTAAGCTCAGAAGGAACATCAGGCCCACAGCAAGCGGACAAACGGAGCCCCGGGGAGCCCGGCTCGGCACCGAACCCACACGGGGCCTGGGTGTGAGGCCGCCCCGGCCCCCGCTGTGCCTCTGTCCTAGGACAGGAGCCGCCAAGGGCACTCCTGGATGAAGGGGGGCAGTTTAAAGCAGGCTGGTCTGGATGGGCCTGACACAGAATCTCCCAGGACTAAGCCGCACACTCTCCTGAGGACTCTCCCGCGGGGTGCGAACCCGGCCCCGTCTGCTCTTACAAAGAAAGTGACACTGGGACACAGGTGCACCCGTTTGTTTATGAACCGCCTACAGCAGCTTTCGGTCTATGACGCAGATGTGAGTCGTCAAGACACATGCCGTGTGGCCGGCCAAGCCGGAGAGATTTACCAACTGGTCCCCACGAGGAAAAGTGCACAACCCCTGGTCCGACATTAAGAGCACAGGCTGGTGGCTCGAGACCCAAGCGGATGCACAAGCGTGAACGGAACCCACACGGGAGCCGGGATGAAGCGTGGACCCCGTCCTTCCCTTGCGAAGCCACAAACCCAGCCCCAGGGGGCGCCCAGCATACGGGACCCCACTCTGCGTGAAGCATTTCCTCTGCCTGCCTGGCCAGGGCCCTGCAAGCCTCAGGGTGACGCTGGCCAGGCCGGACTCCCCCACCCGATGTGACCGTGTGGGACGGGCCTGGGGCCCCGAGAGCCTGAAGCACAAGGGCCTGCGTGAGGCCTCAGGGTCCCACTGGACGGCTGCGAGGCACCTGCCAAGTTACTTTTCTCTGCCTCTCGTCGGTGTCCTGTTCGGTAAGCTTAGGAGTCACCTTCCTTG